TATACGATTTGATAAAATTTATGCAAATAACACCTCCAATTTATTCTTCACTCTTTTGAAGCTTGGGCTTAAGAAATTTTTGCACATTAGATTCTTGAAAAATTTTGGATCAAAATGTCTCCCATTTTGTGGTTACAACTACTGGCCCAGCATTCACCATCTCAGTAAAATTCCCCTGTTTCCTCTGTTTTTGCTGAGAATTGAAGGTTTTCATGGTAAAAATCTGGTGTTGCTGGTGCATTGGGACTTTGCCTAGCCCAGAATTCTTGGTCTTGAGCACATCAAGAGTTTCTATGTACTTTTGAACCCTCTTCACCTGAAAAAAATAAATAAAATAAAATAAATAAATAAAGGGTTCACATAATAATAATAATGATACTTGATTATGAGTTATTACGCGACGACAATATCCATTATGACCCGTTTAGTACGATGTTTTGATCCGTCTCGACCAATTATAATGTCTAAATCCGACGAACAGAAAAATGTGTGATTAGTAAAAGTTAGTTAAATTGCCTGAGTCCTTCTCTGCAATTTGACATCTCCATCAGCAGCAATCCCATCTAACTTTATCAGCTGTGTCATCAACAATTCAATCAGGTTCAATAAAACTGTCTCCACAACTTTCTTGCCTCCATTTATGTCCAATTCAATTGATCCCACCTACCATTTTTTTCACATCAATAAACAATCAATCTCTCAAAATACAACCAATCAAGACAAGAAAAACATAACTACTAGGGGGTTATCATATATGAATTCAACTAGTAAAAAACTAGTTATTTTTTAACTATAGTTAAGTTTAAAAAATGTGGTATGGTTAGTTGTTAGTGGATATATTAAAATAATATTTAAAATAAAATAATTAAAGTTGATTTGATGTAAAAGTAAGAAAAAATGATTGAAAGTGATAGTTAAAATTATGTGAATAGATGAATAATGAATTAAAGTTGATGTGATGTGTAAGAATGATTGGTTAATATTATTTAATTATATTGATAGTATTGGAGATAGTGAAGTTGAGTTAAATTTAAGTTTTGATTTATTTTTATACAATACAATAGCCCCGAACTAAACAA